AAAAAAAAACTCAACATACTTACTCTTCTTCTGTCCTATTCAGATAGCTGGTTTACTGTCTGCTCTCATAGTGATGATTGTCACCTTGGCCATTGGATTCCTTCTAGAGCCCCTCCCCAAGGTAAGCTTCAGATCTACCTCGTACTCTCCCAACATACAGATGAAGTAACTTGACTGGCCGAGATCTGACCTTTGACCTATTACTTGAACAGTCTGTGCTGGGTGCTGTGGTCATCGTCAATCTGAAGGGCATGCTGATGCAGTTCAGAGAAATCCCATACCTGTGGAGAAGGGACAAACCAGACTGTGTAAGTTCATATAATCTGAGAAAAGTTATATAAGAAGATTGAGATTTCTGCATACAGACATGTAGACACATGGCTCCTTATGTTTCTCACCTTCGTCCATGTCCAGGTGGTGTGGTTAGGTACCTGTATTGCCTCCATCTTGCTGGGGCTGGATCTTGGATTGGCTGCAGGCCTCGGTGTGGAGCTGCTCAGTGTGGTTCTCAGAGCTCAATTGTTAGTATTCGGCCACAAACCATTTTTCTATCTTTTTTGTTTTGTATTAGCTTGCACTTTTCTTAAAAGTATACAGTTTGAGCTGTTCCCTGAACTATGGAAGCTCATACCAGCTTTAGCCACGCCAGCAGCATGACTCATGTTCATCGATTAGCTATGCTTATCATGATTTTTTTTTTTTAAATCCATATTCAGAGATATTCTCAGCATTTTTGCCTAATGATGTTAGCATTTGACTCAAAGTACTGTTTAGTACAACTTACATAGCTGCATAGCTGTAGGTGTAGACAAATTGACATTTCAATGTTTTGTGTTTCAGCCCTCGCTGCAGTGTGCTGGCCAACATCAGAGGAACAGATATCTACAAAGACAGAAAGGACTACATCGATGTAAGTTGGTTTGGGTTTTATCATGTGTCTAGTTTGCGTTAAAGATATAATTTTGGAAAGATACATAAGTGGCATCAATCTCATCTACCTCTCAGCAAATTAACTCCAAAATGTCAAAGTATTTTTGGTGGGGCTCCAAAACTAAATGATTGTCTTTGTATATGCACAGCTCACTATCAGTAAGAAACATAGTCATTATTACCGACTTATAATGAGAGAAACAACCCTGGGTGAAGGAGGTCACTCCACTCCATGTCATAGGGAGGGGAGCAACTCCAGATAAGAGTTTACTGGAATGAACAATTTATACCAAAGAGGTATTTGAGACTAGCTGAAAGAGAAAGGTTATGTGAGGATGAAATTTCCATGACACTATTTTATAAAAGCCTTTATGTGTTTTACCTTCATCAGTTTGCTTGATGTAACATCAGAACTAGTTTGATATAACTATTATTCCATTCATTTGGAATTAGGAGCAGCAGCAGAGACATTACCAAAATGTCAGAAAGTGCAAAAAGTTTTAATTTCATATGCTCCAATTTTAATCCCCATAAAGTTTTGTAAATTTTGTCTTTATGAGAACCAATGAGGTGAAAATAATCATCCCGGTTTCGGTTGATCTTCTCTGTTTCATTTTAAAATCTTTGTTTAAAGAGGTTTGATATATGTTATATATATTTTGTCCAAAATGTGGGTGTAATGTATATGACTCTCCCCAGATATATGAGCCAGAGGGAGTGAAGATCTTCAGGATACCATCACCAATTTTCTTTGCCAACATTGAATTCTTCCGGAACAAGCTGGTGGAATCTGTAAGTCTTGCATGGCCATAGAGCGTGTTGCCTTTTTAAAAAAACTTTTTAAGTAATTCATTTGTAAAATCATTATCTTGACAAATAGAAAATTACATACATGCTGTTAAAAATCCATAACCACAGGCAATAGAACGTAACATATTGTATCTTTGACATGATTCTGTGTCTTGAACCCATGATTTACGTCACACAAATCTCTTCTCAGATTGGATTTAACCCACTGAGAGTGCTGAGAAAGAGGAATAAAGCACTCAGGATGATCCGGAGGCTTTTAAAGACAGGTGACCTGCAGTGGACATTAGTAAGTAATGACTTTTACAGCAACTATGCTTACATAGACACCAATAATCTAACTAATGACCTTATTCAGAATAACACATTATATTGATTATGATGTTTACCAGTTTTTAATGGATAATTCTATTCATATTCCTGTTTACATTTTAAAGAGCATAACCGCCATATGTCGATGTCGGAAAATGCTGTGAAAAGTCCAAAAGGACATTATAATGCATTTAAGATATTTACATGTCTACATA